AACTTAATCAACAATTTCCAGCAGGGTACTAGAAGTGACAGGGAATAAGAAGTTCTATACCGAAAGTCACCTTAAAATAGAATCCCAGCAGTTTTCTGTTAAGTAACACAGAAGAGAGAATCTTTTCAGCTAACTACAATAGAACAATACATGTTTAGTGGAAAGAGCATCTTTCTTTTTTGTTTCTAATACAGCCTCCAAGAGTACTAATTTGATACTCATGCCTACTGGCTAAAGAACTACGTGTTCTCAGTAACAGACACGCAGAGTAGGTCTAGAGAAAAAGACTGCTTACCAGTGCTAAGGCAGCATTCCATAAACAAACACTGATCCACAATCACTAACCACGCATCAGAAGGATTTATCTTTTTAAGTAACTGGGATTGTGAATGGCTCATTCAGCCCCAAGCTAGCGAGCGTTCAACGTTTTAATCAAGCAGTAGATTCTGTCGCATAAGGTCTCCCCTCGATGCAGAACATTATTCAGTTCTAAGAAAACATTTCTGAACTAGTCTGCATCATGGGCGCTAAAGCAGAAGGTGCTTCAGTAAGCAAACGCAAGCTTTCAGAAGAATCCCACGACTTTACCTGCTAACTTCTCTGCTAAGCAGCCCAGTACTGCAGTTGTATTCCGGTGTTTGGCTGGGTGACAAGCATCCTGGCAAGCAGCAGCTCCACTTAAGTTTAATATTTCTGTTAACTTTTGTAATGCATCCTGAAACAGAAAAAAAAGAAGAAAATCAGAAATCTTTTCAGCATTACAGACAGACACAGTTTCCCCCCAACCCAATAGAAGTTGAAAAATTATTTTTACACTGTATTACTAAAGTAAGCATCCTATTACAGACAGCACGGCTATCTTTTAAGATAAGAAGAAAATAAAGAACGGATGGGAAGAAAAGTTCAACATACCCAAGATTTCTAACTTTAAAATTACTACCAGATTGCTGGTCATTGTTGTGATCAACAATTCGGGACACTTCTGGATGTACACAAGTGAATATAGCAATAAGAACTTGAATAGTAGACAAAGGCAAATACCAATCAGCACACATGGCACTACTGCCATTTAATCTGTTTCCAGTGTCCTAAACTCACACCCTTTCCCAAACAAAAGGGCTAGTTTAGACTTCAGAATTCAGGACTAAATAGATGTGCCCCAAAAAAAAGAGCCCACATCTCCATCATAAATTTAGGATGCTGTCAGCTTTACATGATGTCATAAGCGATATTCTTGAGAGCAGAAATGGCTTTCTGTAGTCACATTAATTTAGAAAGTAACCGATGAGGGTAATAAATCTAAAATGCAGTGCTTTGGCTTGCTTCATTCAGGCAGTACAGTACGGATAAAATTCAAGATAGATCTAAAGCAGGCTGTCCATTTTCAGAGGAGTCAGGGGTTAATCTAGAGCCAGAACAAGTTACCCCCAGAGAGAACCCCACCCTGCAGAGTTCCAAATGCCCCTCAACTTTCCAGACTTCATGAAAGTTTCAGCTGGTTCAGATTGAAACTGCATAATCTGAGGCTAGAATCTAATTAAAATAGAAGAACTCCTCCTGTTGAAGTCATCAGCAGGCCATTTGGAGAAAAAAAATGAGTACTGCTCAAACTGAATAGATACTTTTTTTGAATTGTGTTCTGAGCCACACTCAAACCAGCTTACTGCACTGAGTCTGAGGTTGTGCAGAGATACTGCTGAAAAGTTCCACGTTCCCAAAAGAAAAGCCATGAAACCAGAACTGATGAACAGGACTGACACTAAGGGGGAAGACTAGAGAAAGAAGAAAGGATAACTGAGCCGGACTTGGAATGGAAAAGCCTCACTAAAATTAGACTCTTGACATACTCTGATACTGCTTTTAGCCATTATTAGAACCGTCACAGAGATCAACTATTTTGAGTTAAATACTTTGTAGAATAAACAGTTTACTGCACTGCCATTTTAACTTTATGGCCTTCATAGCCTACAATAACAGAAAATGAAATACAGCCTGCTGCTGTTCTCCAGCCGTCACAGAAGTAGGGCACTGAGTTAGAACCCTTAAGACCAAAAATTTAAACTTACCCTGAATAGAAAGAAAATGAACAGCAGCAAACGTTTTACTAGGCTGCACGTGACCCGCAGATCCCACAACTGCAGCTCCTTGTGAATTAAGGAGATTGCGCGGGGAAAAAAACCCCTCTGTGCACCCTAGAAACAGGCATCTTATTCTTTTTGTCTTAAGGTCAATTATTTCATAGCTAACTCCTTAAAATTAAAGTACCTAAATAAAAGTGATGTGGCTTTTCAAAAAAACCAAATCATTTGATTGCCAAGTACATTGTACAGCTGAATAAAAAAAAATACAAAATCACCCTTCCCATGGAGCATTCACAGTGGTCTCCATTTCCTGGTTTCTTTTTCAAAGCAGGCAAAGATTCTAGTCACAGCTTTGTTTTCAAAATAATTTTGCAGTCTGAGAGAGCCATCATATAACATTTAACTTGTTCAGCAGTCTCAGATAACTTTAATCAATAGCCTAGAGGAAGAAAAACCACTTCAGGTAGTTAGCGAGCTTGATTAGCTCTCCAGCCACCCACACATTTACAGAAAACAAAAAGCCACCAGCTTTTTATGTATATCCCTAACGATGCAAATTGAAAATGAAAATTGGCAGCATGAGAAGTAGATTGATAAGTGAAAGATGCAATGTCATCATCCATTTCTGATGAAATGAGATCATGACAAGCATTTGAAGACAGACAAGTTCTCTGTACAATCACTACATTTAAAGGTTAGCATCTTGAAGCACTTGAGGCTCTCACTGAGACACCCGTACCAACACCAACAGAGTATGAACACCTCGGGTCATCTTTCCAGCCAAAAAACAGATTAGTGATCAGTAAAAAAAAAAAAAAATAAAAAAGAATTTCAAGTTTGCAAAAACTGTACCTAGATATTTCATAGTTAACAAACGTAATTTGTTTAACACGCCCGCTTGCATTGCATTCCTTATGCGCAGGGCAGGAACAAATTCAGTAGTGACGTGTAGATGCGCAGCTTTCACAACTCCAGAACAAGATGGCAGCGCTTGTACCGATTTTGCAGCACCTGTACACCCTCACCGCACAGCGTGCGCACACCGCGGGGCAGGAGAGGGCAGCAAGAACGGCAGCTCAAGACCAAAGGTCTCTCGTTCTTCCCCACGGGCTAGATGTAGCTTTTATTTCCCTCCCCCCCAACCCCGCCAGTACTTCTAGCATTAAATAGCAATTAGATACCAAGCCACCACAAATTACTCAAAGTTACAAGTTACACCCATTTTCAGAACAGCTAACAGAGTCTTGCATCACTGTCCAAACCCACCCAGAAGTTCTCCTGGGTGTGGCAACCCTGAGGAACTGAAACTCAGCCACAGATAAATACACACGGTTCAGACTCACTTTTGTTGGCAGTGGACATTCATCGAGTAGTAGCGTTATAACAGCTGGTCCCAGAGGATCTTCTAATGGAATAACTCTAATTAAAGATTGGACAACTTCCAACCAGCCTTCATCTGCCAACCACAAAACAGAAGTAACACTCAGAATTAACACTGCAATTCTGAAGCGGTCAAAATACAGCCACAAGTTGAAAACTCCTCAAAATTACCCAGTGAGTTTACAGACACTCGGAAAAAGGAAAAAAAAATCCCAACAGTCTACTTTTTAGATCAATGTCTTAGCATGCCATAGTTTAGAAGTTTAAATTCAAGGAGAAAAGTTTACAGCAGCTTGGGTAATAGTGAACACCTCTACTGCTTGGAGAACACTCTTGCCCAGGGCAGAGCATCTTTCAGTTCCCACTAGTATCAGGAAGGGACACTCATGACCAGTACGGACAAGCACTTTGTGATACTCAGGAGTTCAGAGTCCAATGTCAACTCTTAAGTGTTAAATGCTGCATCCACGATGACACTAAAGAAGTGTTTCTTTTAGCCAGAATCAGAGCACTCTTCTTGAGTTCCCTTGAGAAACACAGATCTCAGAGGAACTGCATGAGCTTGTGCCATGCCTGGTGGTCTAAAGAAAGTTTGCTTTCCGATGGAACTACTCTCACTGATTAATGACTAGACAAGGGCTTCTACTTGCAAGTAAACAATAACCTACCCAAGATGTTAAACTACTGATAAAGTAGACAGGTTTGGATTGACAAGAAATTAGTTCCCTTAACAGTGAAACTAAAGATGGAGCCTGTATCTGCATACAGGTGAGGGAGCGAGGGAGGTCGAAGAGACTTAGCGCTCCCTTCAACAATGACAAGTAAATATCAGTAACATATTGGGGTTTGAGTTTTGTTAGCATGTACCCCCAAAAAACCATTTTACTGAATTGCTGTAATATCTCATCAGGTTGATTAATTTATTTTGATATAGAAATAAATTTCCTAAGATCAATACCAACTCTACTAAGAGAGACCAAAATTCACCTAAACCAGAAATTTGGTGGAGGTCTTGAGCTGGGAGAACACAGACAAACCAGCCCTGGCACAAACACGGCTCATCTTGCAGGACTCCTTAGGGATGAGGTTGGAACAACTACATCAATCAAGCAGAGGTCTAAGGATAGCAAAAGCCAAGACAAAAAGTATGTGCTGTTTGCCAACAGTGGAGCACATGGATTTAAACCATGTCTACATACACACATGGATTGTTTCTGCCTTACTGCAGATGGACATTCTCTGTGGCTTACAGTTTAACGCCATTACAATGTGTTTGCAGCCATCCGTTGGCTGCTCCTGGAGAGTTCACATAGGAAGTTCAACAGAGTTCAAAAGACTGAGGCAAATGAGCCCAGTGAAGCTTCTGAAGGGCAGAACTGTGTTTTGGATCCCACATCCCTAGCGCTACAGCAGGTTGTACGCATACTGCTAGTACGTGTTTTTTTTCGCAAAGAAAAGGGTTTTTTTTTGCTTTGGAGTCACAACTGAAACGCCCAACACAGTGCCTTGATACCTGTTTCTGCCATTTCATGCAACGTGATCATTGAATAAGGAGGCTCCTGGTCACTGAAAGAGATATTACACAGGTCAAAATTTATGCACAACTATCAACATAACACACCAAATAAAATGATAACACACAGAAAATGCATCTAGTAAGTATTTAGCAAAAGGGAGTCACGTAGGCTGCAGACTGCTAATGCTGTTTTCAGATCTGAGACACAGATGGGATTTCAGCCTTTTTCTGGCTTAAAGTCAACATCTGCACATCTACAATAGCTGATAAATGAAATGGTGATCCATATCTGCATGTCTAAAAGCTAAACATAATGCTTAGGCTTAGTGCTCTTCATTAGTGAGGTTCCTCAGAGTACGTAACAAGAGACTATATGTCCGAGGTCATGATGCGAACCAAGAGCAGTGCACAAGGGACACAGCTTAAACATGCTTTTTTTCCTCCAGAAATTCTCTGTTAAGTATATAAATACATTAAAAATCCCCACAAAACTGAAAAGCAAGCCACCTAACACCATCACAGACTTCACACTCATTAACAAGAGCCGTAAGAAATAGTTAAGGCAGTTTAACAGACGATATTTAACCCAATTCCCTTTCCAATGTGAAAAACATACAAAGTTCAATTAAATCAGTTCCCCAATCTAGTTTGCTGGAGCGATGGCAAGACCAGTGCGTATCTGTTCATCTGAGCGGGCACTGCCATGGAGAGCACCTAAAATAAGGTCTCCAAATCCTACTCAGTAACCGTCTCCAGATCCAGAAAAAGCTGGTGCAGCAGCACGTCCTAAATGCTTTATTCAGCGCTACGGAGGCATTGTGAACTAACCCCAGGCTTACAATGATACGCGCCACACTCCATTTCTATCACACAATCCTGAAATGAAACCAGAAAAGCTAAATACAGATGAATTTTTAGAAAGTTTCAACACCAATTAATCATGCAGATAATAAAGCTACCTAATTTGGAGGGATTAATTATAAAAGAAGAGGAAAAACTCAGTTTTGACTAAAGATATATGATTAAAATACATTATTTTCTTACAAAAAAAATTAACACTCAAATATTTACACAAGAAAATGCTGAAGTTTAAACACATTTTTATATTGCCACAACATTGGAAACAAATATTCCCTCCTCACCTCCCCCCCTCCCCATCTCTTTGCCTTTCTAGAAACTAATCTCCCCCACAGGAAAAAGTAGTGCAATGATGCAAGCAGAATTACCTCAAGAGAAAGGATGTAAAGACTTAAAGAAGAAAAAAAAAACACCAAAAAACCACTAAGTACAAGTAAAGGCTACAATAAAGGAGGAGGAAGTTTTTCGCAGCCGGATTTCTGATTCTGCCAGGGGTAGGAGGCGTTAGCAGTACGGGCACTGAGCAAAGGACGGTCCTGTCCCACCGATTTCCCATTTTAACTACTTCATTTCCAAACATCCCCACCTTCCTCATTTAGGAACAAAGCAGTCATTTTGCTAATTTCTTAATTTGTAAGGCAGCACTTCATATAAACTCAAAAAATCAGTAAGTATTCTTCTGAAGCTAGGAAATGAAACTTAACTCCTGTCCTTCTAGAAAGGAGTTATCTCTAGGTATGGGAGGAAAAAGCAGTTGTCAGGTATGTTTTAGGTCTGAACTTTGGGATTTGATAAAAACCAAACAAAAAACCCCCCCAAACAACCCATAAACAAGAAACCCCAAACAAACATCAAACAGGGAAAGCAACTGTTCATTGCAGATCACAGTATAGCAACTTAATTTACAATCCATCTCGGTGTCCCCATCCATTAACTTCTAGTACAGAATTTGGAAAAAAAATTGTCAGAAAAAGTTTTGCTTTCCATTCTTTAGATTGCTATCTTTCCTTTTCCAGGTTGTACTATCACACTGAAGTCTGTATTTGTGACCTCTTACTTACGTGGTTTCATTTTAGTTTGACTTTATTCTTGCACATTTTTTGACTTAAAGAGATTTGTCAGCTTCCCTACCATCTCCTTTAGTTGTGTTATTTTCAAAACTGCAAATTAGGCTTCAGGGGAACAGGCAATAATGGAACATACTTATTCATACAGTCTCTCACTCACACTGAAACCTGTGGTTTCCAGACATGGATTTTACTTTTTTTCCCAAGTGAGCGTTCCTATTTATCTAAAAAGGGCTATCATTAGCTTCAGTCTAGGAGAAAGACTCCTTACACTTTTTTCCAGACACATTTAGATAGCTTGCCTCGTGAACAGACCCCTCTGTTATTCATAGCCGTAGGTCTTTGTCTTATCTGCAACAACTTGTAATACATAGTAGTTGTGTTATAAAACCAGCTGTGTCTTACTGACTGCCTTAATATCAAACAAGGAAACCAGTATACCAGTCCAGCCCACTTCTGGGCTCTCCAGGACAAGACAGACATTGCTATAGGGGAGCGTGTCTAGCCGAGAGCTTCCAAGATGGTTGAGGGCCAGAGAACGCGGCATAGAAGCAGAAGCAAGAGAAATTGGTTTGTTCATCCTTAAGGGGGGGTAGTGGAAAGGGGGAGAAATCACATTGCTGTCTGCAACTACGGAATGGTAAAGGGCGGAAAGAGCTGGGCTTTTCTCGGAGGTGTACAGCAGCAGGACAAGAGGCAACAGGGATGTGTTGGAACATGGGAAATTCCAACTTTTAAAAATATTTACTTATTTAAGCCATGGAGGTGGTCAAACAGTGGACCAGGGACCCAAAGAGGTGGAGAATCTATATGTTCTGAAGATGTTCAACACTTGACTGTATAAGGCCCTGAGCCTCCTGCTAGACTTGGTTTTAAGCGGGAGGCTGGAGTGGATGAACGTCAAGAGGTCCTCTTCCAACCTGTGTGATTATGTGAGCCTAAGAAAGTATTTCACTGGAATCTGTATTAAAAAAAAAATACAGTCGCTTTCAGGAATTTGTCAGAAAGAGGATTCCAGCACCAGCGAAATAACTCTGCTTATTGTCCCTCAGTAGCATAGGAAAGTGCTTACATGATTACAAAACTGATTGCAAGACCCACAGGAACAGGATCAACTATGCACAAAAGCATTGTGAAACAGCTTAAGAAGCTGAACTTAGGGGAAAGGGGAAGGCATGTGCGATTAGGGAGAGACTCAAAAAAAAATTGCCATGATCTTAATTTAATGATTTGAAGACAGACCACAAAATAAAACCTGTTAAAAAAACCCCTTAGATTTAAATGTTCAGAAAATAAATAAATATATATGTCCAGGTACTTCCATTTAAAGTATTTTACAGCAGGAAGGCAAACTCCTGCTCTGCAGGCACATTCCAGAGTAATGATGCAGGTATATGAATCAAGGGTCACTTATCCTGAGCCTCATCCACCACTCAACCCCAGCTGTGATGCTACAATAGCATTTTTCTTTCTGATTTGGCCTTTCCAACTCGTAGCCCAAAAGGGGATGAGCTAACTTAACGCATCATTTTGAAGGTCCTTTTAAAGCTTTGTAGAAAGCAACACAAAACTATAAAAATAAGGATGAATCCATAAATATCCCCCACACCCTTAATGGATGCTTTGAGCATGCAAGGAATGCAATACTGGGATCATGAGTTGAACAGTCACAACATGCAGTCTTTAAAAAGTAGTCAGACTTATAACTGGAAAGAAAACCTCAGTCTGTTTATACAAGCTAACAAAGATCAAAGCTCTCCGTTTTGCTTAACCATTTCCAAAGCAGTAAATACAGCCTGAAAACAGAAGTCTTATACAACAACCAATTTTTAGGATGAAAGTTCCCAAACTCTGGAGCATTCACTGCTTCCTAAACTGGGTATCTATGCCAGGTAAGAAATACTGAGCACACTCCTCATCCCACCTGGGTGTAGGCCCATACAGGAACTGTGAGAAAGCTCCTCAGCTCCTGGAAGAGTCTGTACCTGGGCATTCAGGAGCTACTTCTATTACCTAGGAAAGGTGCTCCTCTCCTAAGCCTCCAGATGGAAACACGCGGCTGCTTCAGGGAGGGTCAGGTGTAGATCGGTGAGAGGATGGAGTCACAGTTTGAGAGAAGACAAGAACATTTTCATTCATGTTGAATGATTCCTTGAGGAGGTACTTACTTATCTACTAATGTCCGAATTACAGCCAGTGTGTCAAGTACTAGCCCATCCACATTCTGTTTTTTCCTTCTTGGTTCGTGAGGCCCTCGACCCCTCCTGGGCGGACGGACAGGGTCCCTTGGGTGGCTTCTTGCTTCAGGTACGTGTACTCTACTGTTCTCCGTTTGCCGACTCCGAGATTCCACGTTGTCTTCTGCTCCGCTGTCATCACGGCAAACACACGAGTTTCCCATATTGCTAGCCCCCAAGGCTCCCAGTAAGCGGGGAATGTGGTGCTCTAGAGTCAACAGTAAACCTTGAAAAAGGCTTCTGCTAGCATAGAACACAACCAAAGCAACTACAATCATCTAGAAAGTTTTAAGAGTAGTGTTTGTGTGATCCTGAATTGTGATTTTTTTGCATTATAAGCGTTGCTACCAGCTGGAATGAATAGGAAGTTGGAGACTTAGTTTCCGATATAATCGGTTATAATACACATGGGTCATCCAGAAGGAGGTCTGAAAAAGCAAACCCAAAACAAGAGTCAGTGTTACTACTTCTAATGAATAACAGAATTCCTATTTTAGAAAACAGAATCACTCTTGGTGGATAAAGCACCTCGGAAATGTAAGGTTTGTACCTGAAGTCTGTTGCAGGGAGGGGAGAGGAAGGAAGAGGAGGAGTAGGAAGTTCACTGGGTGAGTAGCTCCTGCCCACACACTCTTCCTTTCTACACTACCTATTATTTTCCAGCTCTTCTATGGGTTTTGGATGCAGAGGAACAACTTTGTCCCTAAATCTAGCACACTGCTACCCTCTAAGTGGTAAGTATTAACAGTTTCATTTGTTCTTTACCCTACACAGAGACACACTGCTCAAGCTACCCAAGTAAAGGCTGCATGTTTAAGGTTCTCATTTCACATCAGGAATATTCAGTATCATTTCCAGACAGACTCTACAATATTAGATTTAGACAGTGAACCGAGTGTTTAGTCCATCTGCACATAAACACATCTTTTTGGAATGTGCCCACATCAACTGGATTCTCACCCAAGAAGCATCAAGTACCAACCCTGAAATAAACAGGAATTACAGACACCATTTTAATGCCTATAAATCTAACTGGGATTTTGAAAGGGGTGTTTGCTGTGCAGGTTGTGTGCTTGTTTGGATCTAGCGTCAAGCCACTCTTCCCTTTTTAGGAACCAAGACTGTTTCAGCCATTCTTTTGTTCTTGATTCAAATGGTTTGGATCAAATACAGGCCCATTAGTAAGTGGGATTGTAGGACAGAATCACTGAACTGAGAATGCTAGCAAGAACAAAAGGTTTCAAACCCCTGCCTCGTTACAAGTTATTTTTCAAGCCACGGGGTATATTTCTATAGAACATTATATAAAGTCTCACTAAAATAAAGCCCTACAAAAGACAGCATTTCACTACTCATGCACTTCAAGCATGCTAGAATAAATAACTTAAGACTAAACTCATGTTATTCTCTTAAGAATGAAGTTTAGCATTTAAGCTAGAAATTACGGTGAACATCCTGTAACAGGTTATTACTATTCTACAATTATTAAATAATCTATTTAACAGCTAATGTGTAGCACCATAAAATTAAAAGAAAGTCAAAGACAGTGACCGCCTTTCGTATACGAAGCCACACCATGGAAGCCAAGTGGCAGCCGTGCAATTGCTGGCTGCCATGTGGTAACAACATTATTTGGGAAGCCAGGCACTGGCCATACGAGCAAGTCTCTGTGTGTACAGTTGTCACCAGAAAAGCACCGCAAACGAGCTCTCACAGACTCTTCTGCAGTTTGAGGTACCTTATCTTCTTTTAGGACAGTGAAAAGTTCAGTATTAAGAAATTAACTGAAGGCTAACTAGGGGAAAAAAAAAAAAAAAGTCCCTCAAGGGATATTAATTACAGAAAAATACAAGATCTTGACTTCTTGAAGAAATTCCTAAACCACAAATCATTAAAAGGGTTTCAGCATCACGACACACTTGCCTGACTCTCTAAGCAGTTTGACCAGAACACGAGGTGGGACACCAGGCTCTGGAGTCCTTCCATCTCAGCCAGTATAGCTGTTAGCATCTCTGTCAGCAAGTCAAAAGCAGATGTGAGGGTGCCAATACAGATTGCACAGATCTTAAACAGAATTCTGTAAGATCACAACTGGTTCAAATGATTTTCAAAGGGTGTGGGAGACAGTTGTTGAATTTTGGAGTTATTTTTGTTGGGTTTTTTTCTTTAAAAAAAAGAGCTAGTTATGTTAAATGCAAAACATGTCTTCCTAAGGGAAAAAATATGCATGTATTTATGAAACCCTATCATTTAAGGGCATTTTAGTAACATAATACTCAATACTAAAACTGTTACAGATTTAGAATCTGAATTAAGCTGTTCTGTAGCTTACGAAAACGTTAAGAGAGTGAATCTACCTTGTCATCAAAAGGAGTATGGAAAAGTTGTATTTTAGGGATTAGCAATGAGTTAGAACCTACCTAAGGGAACAAAAATAGACATAAGTCAAGATTAAAACTGATTATTGAAACCTAGATTTTCCTGGTTGACAACTTAAAGCATGATTAAAACCGAACGATTATGGTCAACTCACCCTCAAGTGTGTTTGGTTCAGGAATAGCTGGGCTTCTCAAAGCGCTGTAGCAGAAGTGGACTGCACTTCTTCAGGGCACAGATGCAGCTGTATCGGGAAGAGCAGGACTCTAAGCCTTTATCGTGGGCAGTGAGTCATGACGGGTGACTCTGCTTTCACTTTTGGGAACTATGCCGAAGGGTCCCTGAAGACAGATGGAAAAGAAAGAACAATTCATTGGGAAACTGCCTCCAAGGCAGCCATACGCCACCTCCTCCCTACACCCGCCATGCCGTCAAGCCAGGCTGTTATTTTCAGCCAAATTCAGCCTTTACGGGGGAAGTTCTCTCACGGCTTCAAAAACCATTTTGCCATCTACTAGGTTTAGGACTAGACACAGCTACAGAAAACCCAAGCTGTCTTTACAGCCTTGGTATTCCAGAGCCCATAGCACCAAGTGCAGAGCAGCAACCGACTCCTCCCCTCAAATTACTGCTTACAGGAGGAAGAAGGGAAGCAATAATATCTGCTCCAGATCACCCTCAAGTAGGGACAGCTGAAAATAAAAGCAAGTACACTATAAAAGTTGATTAGATAAAGGGAAAAGAGAAATGACAGGATAAACTCCCCTTATTTACTAAAGAGCCGAGTTTGACAGCGTTCGCTTGGCTGCCGCTTACTGTCACGTACAAAGAGTTCATTGTCAAGCCCCAAACAAACTGACAGGCTCAATAATTAGGAACATAAGGTAGAAGAGATCGCTACGGATCCGCCTCGCAAACCAGCTTGTCTGGACAGAGCATGAATGCATGAAGAGAGCGTCTGGAGTGCAAAGGAAAAGCTTTTTCAGAAAAATAGTTTAAACCAGTGATGTATTAGATTGCATTTGAGCTGGCGTATTTAAGGACAGCTTTACAATGTTATAATGAACCATGACTTTAGCATTAGGCTGCCAGTGGCTGTCCTGACTCCCTCGCTCTCACTGCTGAGGTGAAGAGGACGGAGATATCAAACTTCAGGTCAGCTGCAGGATGGAACGGGGAAATACAGCAGAGAGGGGAGCTGCAAGCAAGGAGAGTGATCAATTCTGCTTCTGTCCAAACTCGGAGACCTCAGTGACACAACCAACACACAAAACCAAAAGCACTTTGTACACCATGAAAGGTGAAATATATTATTGTTTCAATACGAGGTAACAATCTCTGCATTCAGAGATGCAAAGAAATTTTAAAATTTAACCTCAAGCCTAATTTTTGCAAATCCCTGCTCTTAGCAAAACCTGGACACAAAAATATGGGGGGTTTAATCCCAAAACCACTTGCAAATATTGTGCGAATAAAAGAGAAAGGTTTGTTTTTTTTAAAAAAAACTTTGTCTAAAAGAAGAAGAAAATTCAAGGAGCAGAACAAGCATATCACAACAGCAGTATCGGGATAGCCCAAGAAAAGCCTCCTGTCCCACCTGGCAGCAGATACTTACGGCTGGGCATACCCGCAAGCGTACTATCACAGACAAAGAGGCTCTCTCCCAGTGCGCTCGCCCGAGATAGCTCCGTCTCCCGAGACAAAGGCTGCACGCTTGTTTTGCTGTTAAAACACAGCGAAGGAAAAGAACTAATCTTTCATAATCCATTTGAATTCTGTTTCAGTAGTTACGCAGCTAAGTCTCTGCAACCGCTTTTAAAATTTAGCAGTCTTCCATTATAAGGCCGTGACCAATCGTTAACCAAAGTGTACTGGTTTTCTTAAAAATTATGCTATTGGAGAATTTAGTATGGCGTGTGACTTTTACCTTTTGTGTTCTAATATCACCTCAAAACACACTTTAACCCAAATACGTTATGAGCTAACGGCTAAGATTCACCTAAGCACCAGCAGGAGAGAAAGAACAAGTTTCCCTGGAAGGCAGCTAGAACAGAAACCCATTGCCTCCCGTCAGGGCTACAATGACACGGTGCAAACACCATTTTCTTAAACAACTAGTGCAAGTCAAAGTAGAACTGAAAGCCTTCAGATGAAGCAACTGTGCACGAAAACACCAGCACGAGCTAAGCTACAGGATGGAAAGAAAACAGGTCCTCCATGTTAAAAGCTGTGACCGCTTTCCCCACGATTAGCTCCATTTTGTGTCATTCAGCTACACTGCAATGTGTGCCTGAAAGCCCCATCCCATCAGCTTTGCACTTGCCCAAGGAATATTTTTTGGCAAATTTAGGAAGTGATAAAACTATGAAAGCTGTTCACAACAGCAGCCAGATTTATAAAAGTGATAACACTTTTACTTTACTTTGAAATGGTATTTTAATAAGAGCTTGACCGCACATTTTTAAGTGCAAGAAATGGCAAAGGCAGCAGCCCGTACCGGCTTTTCGACAGGCAGGACTGTCCATTTACTCTGAATTCTGACCATTGAACGTTACTTTGGGATGCAGGACTAGGAAATTGCCAAACATAAGATCAAAATCTAAGTTTTTCTTCTATAAGAAGTACCTGGCACCGATACATCTCTCTCTGAACAGATCCTGCAGGAACAGCAGAGAACGGCAGTGTGCGACACCACCTTCTTCACACCAGAGAGCACCTGCGGGACACTCGCCGAACGGCCGCCCCGGATCCCAGAGGGTTAAGACTAGTGTCAAAACTCGATAGGAAACAGCATTTACTGGCATCTTCAGGACAAAGCCATCACCACGGTCATCTGAGCTGGACGCTTTCCCTGCGGAGGAGGCCAGCGAGGGCACCCCCGGAGCCCTGCGGCGGCAGCCTC